GGGGGGGGAGGGGTTGTTTTTGGGGGCGGGGGTTTAGAGCTTTGCGATAACACATTGCAGGATGCACCTTATGTTAAAAAATTTTTTAAACCTGTTGCTACACAAATAAGCAAAAGCAGGGATTAAGTGTTTTCTGTGAAATGCTGTGCGATAGCAATTCTTCTTACTGCCCTGGTGTTCTTTTTGCTTCTCCTCAAAAGTTGTCTTTTCGATTGTGCATTTACCTTTCCTCACCCTCGTTGCAGTCGAAGACAGATTTCAAATTTTACGTTTAATGTGTCCCACGTGCTGATATGACCTTATGCAGTGGCAAGTGCAGTAAAACAAAAAACAAAAAATTTCAAATTCCTCCGTTTCTCTTTGATGAAGGTGCGAGTGGAGCAAGTCCTCGTGTCTGAGCAAGACCCGGTCACCCTGTACAAGTTGGACAATCTTCTGAAGTTCTACCACCACACTATCGGGTTAGTTCTTGACTATGCTCACTGTGCTTTTGATACTTTTTTTAAACCCATGTGTGTAATGTTTTTTCAGTTAGCGTCTTGTGCTGATCACTTTTAAAAAGAACAGCCAAAAGGCCATTACTGAATTTAATCCTGACGTGAATCTTGCTTTGCAGGTTAATTGCAAAATAGCAGTGGAATTTTTGTAGGCTGAAATGTTCTTGAACAAATGGTTCTTAAATTATTACACGGGTCGAAAAAGTGGTCTTTGGGAAGGACTTAGCGTGCTATAAATATTGCTTTTGGTTTGAATCTTATTTGACTTTTTTTGTTTTCTTTGCTTCAAAACAAGAAATTTTGTACGAATTAAAAATTCAGTTTATTGATGTATGGAAGTGATACACATTAGCAGTTTTTTCTTCATCATCATCATCATCATCATCAAGTGCCAGATGTGCAACAGACATTCAGCAATCATGGTTCTCCATTCCTTCCTTTGCTTGGATACTCTCAAAGAAAAAAAGCTACGGTTTATCTTGATCTTTCCCAGTCACACATTTTTTTAAATTTCAGTCAAATTGTGAACACAGAGGCAGCCTTGCTGTCAACAGTGGCTGAAATTCAGGACTTAAGTCACCGCATGTTCTTCAACAGTTTAACCGGGCATGCCAACAGGTTATTAGACAAGGTTTGTGGTGCTTTTTCTTTATAATTGTCTTTATGTTCAATGGCTGTAAAAAAAAAAAGAATACAGTTAGATAACTCAAAGACCTTGGGGATTGACAAATGAAAAATTAGAGAGATAATGAAGAAAATCAAGGGAAGCAATTATGATAGTACAATAGTCCGAAAATAAATCGCCGCACATATCTGGAACTGATGGATATTATTTATAATAATGAACTATGGTTATTATTGTGCGATAGGACTCATGGTTTGAAGGAGAATCAAAGATTTGACCTAGGAAAACAATTATCTTTTTTTTTTAAATTCAGCTACGTTAGAAGCATAGCTCTATGTAAGGAAATGGTTTAGTGGGTCAGAATGTTTACAATTTTCTTCCAATTTTACTGGTATCTGAGTAATTAGGTAGGTGGGTATTTTATTCAGTGTTTAAGGCCCACATCACGTAAAGCATACATATTTGACAGAAGAGACATTCGTGAAACAGTATAAATCACAAATAACTGTTGATTATTCAATGTTATATTATAATGGTTTTTGTGGTGGATGTTTCTTCAGGTGGAGCTTCCTCCGTCGGATCTGGGCCCGACGTCTTCCCTGACTCAGACTCTGCAGCTGTTGAGGGACGTCCTTGCCTGCCATGATGCTTCTGTAGTTCCCATTGATGATAAGAAACAGGATTACAAACAGGTCTGTGTAATAGAGGAACTTAAAGTAGAGGCAAGGAGAGAGTGAGACAGAGACAGAGAGGATGAGAAAGAGAGAGAGAGGTGTGTGTGTGTGGGGGAGGGGGGGGGGAGAGAAAAAGGGACCAACACAGAGAGAGAGAAAGAGTAAGGTGGTGGTGGGGCTAAGGGGGGGGGGGGGGGGGAGAAAAGTGAGAGAGGGAATAAGATAGAAAAAGATATAAAGAGATTGAGAGGGGTTTGGGAACGCAAAAGTAAACAAGCCATCATTGTGTATACAACAATCTGAGCTTATCTCTACTAAGAGTTGAATGTTTGAGGGTGGCTATTTTAATTTCAAGTTCACATGATATGTCAGAGACAGCGTCTGATACCTTCCTTTCTATGTCTTTCTTTTCTACTTCTTGGTACCTTCCACATACAATCTGCACTTGTGCACACACGTTCTCATCTCACTTACAAGCTTACTGTCTTGATAATAATAAACATAAATAATAATAATAAACATCACTTCTATAGCGCCCACTCCCTGATGGCTAAAGGCACTTCACAATGAAATAAGATTTAAATCAACACTTCATGCATACTGGCCCTTTCAAAGTACAACAATTCTTTCAAACATATGCACTCGTAATCAGACGAAGAACAGAATTGTAAAAAGACAATCACTTTCTTTTACCTGTAAAATAAAAGCAGTTAGATGAGCTGTTACAATGAGTCTATGTGGATGTATCAATGCTGTTTTTCCTCCGTATGTTTCAGATATTGGCCTGTGTGATAGACCCGTTACTACAGATGTGTTCCATGTCTGCCAGTCGACTTAGTGCCATTGATATGGCAGCTTATATGGTGAACTGCATCCATTTGATGAACACAACACTCGCACTCTACGAATTTACAGACACAAGATTAGAAATGCTGAATGCTCAGGTACTATTTGTGTGCTTAAAATACTGAAGCTGCTTGTGACTTGTTAGTGGAGAGGCGCCTTCTGTAAATGAGATTTAAATCCTTAAAGACAGAGACAATACTTTATTGTCCCTGTGGGGAATTTTCTCACAGGAACAATAAAGTATTATCCTGTGGGTATTGAAAACATACAATGCTAATTTTTAAGTGAGGAGTGGAGATATTTTCTGTAACCTGAGTACTCAGGATTTTTCATTCTATGCAGGACATTATTTGTCTGTCACAGTGTCAAAATAGTTATAAAGGATGTGTTTTTTTATAATAATATAAAAATATACAAAAATCGTCACCTCAGAACTACTTTGTCCAAAGTGCACTCTTTACTTAAGTACACTTCGGACAAAATAGTTCTCAGGCAACATAGGGTGGTCATGCTCACGCAGCAACAGGTTAGGTTTGGCTTTGGTGGGGTTTTTTTTAATAATAGATTGTCACATTTGTTACTGTTGTGAAACGCATTAGGTTTTTGGGTTCTTTTCAGACTGATGCTCACGTGGACACCTTGATCAGTGAGCAAGCTTCCTACATTTTGAACCGTGTTGGCCTGGCCCAGATGTACGGAGCCATTCAACAACATCAAACGGGGCAGGTCTGTCTTTCCACATTGCAGCAACATTTATTTATGTATTATTTTTGTTTAGTAAAAGTTTTACGGCACTTGCAGCACAATAAGGTCATATAAATGCTGAAGATTAGAGGTGTTACAAGAGAGGAAAAAAAAGGAGAGATAAGAACAATAGTTATTTGGCAGAAAAGAAGGGGCAAACAACACCAGAGCACCTGCCAACCACCACTCAAGAAAAAGTGATGCATTAAAAAAAAAAAATCACAATTTTTTAAATTTTTTCCTGTAAATGACTCAAATTTTGACACAATGAAAGAATTTGGATCGAGGTATCTGCAAGTGGCTGCTGTTAACAATTAATTGAAATTATTTCTTGCCCTGAAAAGTTAATTCTTGTTAGAAATGAAAGTTGAAAAAAGAGTTAACAAACAGTATTTACTTTTATGGCATATTTGCGATAGTATTGGAAGGAAAAAACTATGGAGTTGAAATCCTACATGTGTGATGAAAGTAGTCTGTAAATAGGAAAATAAAGGCACATTTACAATTGATGGATCCAATGAAACCAGTGGTTTTAGCTGTAGTTCTAGATGACCAAGAAAACTGCTGACAAGGTATGATTCTTTGAAAGATGGGAAAGTAGGTAAAAAAAAACCCACTGAAGCATCCACAGTGCACTGCAAATAATAGATTGATCTGGAATTTCATTCATGAAAGAAGAACATTAATGGTGTTTGGGTTTGTCATCAAACTCCCACTTGATTTCGTGGTTTGATGCTTCATTGTTAAAAATGTATTTGGCGTGTAAAAATATTGCTCAATGGTGCATAGGCCACACATTTTCCTTCATATACAGTTAGCCTATGCCCATTGCTTATTTGTGCAAATAATGTACAGATACTTTGGTGTTGTTTATTGCTTTTTATGTTTTGCTATGGCCCAAATTTCTTTCTGGACCTTACTTGACCGAGTAGTGTTTAGGTATAAAAGTTGTCCTGCTAAAGCTGGAACTTTAGAAAAAAATTTGACTGATTGCCCTGAGCAAAATGTTAATTTTTACTTTCAATGTGAAAGGTAGAATTTTACAATTTTTCTATTTCTGTTAGTACTTGCGCACTTCAAAGTTTTCAGGGTTTTTTGTCATCCGCCACTCATATTCATGAGTATCAAAAATGTTATAAAACCCAAACTCTTATTATGCAAATCTCCTGTCAAGGCTCTTTGTACCTGTATTCCTTGTCTACCACTAGATATTACTCAAGCTTCGTTGGTTTTATTTTACTATTGCAGAGAAGCGATACATTTTTTAAAAAGCAAGAACAGACAGATATAGAAATTAATTCGTACCAACTGCAGTGAGGTTACTGAACACACAGTGCTACAAATGAAACAGAGAGAGAGTGAGAGAGAGAGAGAGAATGTTTTACAGAGCGGGTTGTCCCAGCACGTGAGACATGTTTTTACTTGGCCTAATGTCCTGTCTTGTTGTGCGTTTGCATGAGTGCACCTTTAAGTCTAACTTTTGGAACGTCTACTGCCATTGTTAACGACCAAGACAAATTTCTCCCTGCGAGATGAATAAAGATTGTCATTGTCATTGTCAAGTTGTTACAATGTTCCTTGTCTTGTACGGGTTTTGTTTATTTCTCAGGGACCTCTGTCATCATTACCAGGACTAGATGAGCTGGCTATTAAATCTGCTGTGGTAAGAATGTTTTGCCGTTTACTAACACTAATAACATAACTATCCGTCATGGGTTCTAAACTTGAATTGTTTAAGAGAGTTTTATGGCTCTCTTCCCGTTTGGTTTGTTCCTAAAGGAAACTGACGTTGAATTCAGAGATCTTGCCTCTTATATAACTTTACAGTGTTAAAAGGGTTGTAAAATCTGTACAATGACTATCATTCTGAGTATTGATTTATCACCTGGTGGAAAACTGCCCTCTTTGAGTTGGTCACGTTGGCTTTCTGATGCTTACCTGTACTTTGATGGTTTTCATTTTTCTTGTCATCCTTATGGGGTTCCATTTGAATGGCACATTTTGCTTTATGTATTTGCTATTGAACAAAACCTATGTATTGTCTTATTTTACAGAACAAGTTTGACAGTTACCTGGCCCAACCTGACAGTCTCACTCTCCCCCAGTGTAGCCTGATTCTAGGTGTAACAGTGAGGTAATCAACCCTTTGTGGCATTGATGCAATAATCTAGGTGGTTGGCGGGTGCTCCTGTGTGGTTTGCTCCTTCTTTCCATTCAAACATCTATCATCCTTATCTCTCCTTTTTTTTTGCGTTTGTTACTCTCTTTTAACACCTGTAATCTTCGACACTTTTATGACTTAATTGTGTTGCAAGAGTTGTGAAACTCTTAACTACAACAAATCTCTCAGATTGCCAAAACTCTATATTCCAAACTTTTTAAAGCCATAGGTCATTTCTATACAGGAAGGCAGCTTGACTTATGAGCAGCTTATATCTTGAGGTTAAAAATTTTTGTTTGACTTCTTATGCAGAGTGCAGATCACAGTGGCGTCGGTGGCCTAATGGTTAGGCTCTCGGACTCGCAACCGTAAGGTCGTGGGTTCGAATCCCGTCAAGGACCCGACGTTGTGTCCTTGGGAAAGGCACTTTACACGAATTTTCCTCACTTCACCCAGGTGGGAATGGGTACCCAGCTATAGACAGCGAAAGATCTTGTCAGTTTGTTAGTGTTTGAGCGCTTAATCAGCTGCTTGCACTTTATGCTTCCCGGGAAGCTGAGAATGTTTCGGAGTGTTCTATGGTCTGCTGGGGTAATAATATAGTGTAAAGCGCATAGAGCCTGCTCTTGAGCGGGAATATGCGCTATACAAATGCTATCTATTATTATTATTAATAAATACACCCATTCAGACGTGTTGTAGTATTCGATGTGGTTAAAAGATAGCTGTCTCAAAAAATAAAGAAAGAAAAGAATTTGTTATTTGATATCTAGCTAATGGTAGAGACAGTGTATATGAATAAAGTATCAACTTGTATAATGAACAAAATCAAGGGAAAAGTTACAGCTTTTGAAATCGTTGTTTGTATTGGCACACCTTTGCCAAGTGTTTACATCCATTTTGAGCTTTGGTCTTAATTGTCAGGTGATGTGTCGTAAAGAACTTATGGTCTGCTTTCTTAATTAGCAAGTAAAAATCAATTCCTACGTCTGTAAATGTTTCTTCCTTTAGAAAGAGTATTTGCGATAAATTGGCAGATAAGAATAGGGGGGTCTGTAAATGTTTCTTCTTTTAGAAAGAGTATTTGTAATAAATTAGCAAGTAAGAATTGATTCCTATGTACAGTCAAACCTGTCCAAGACGACCACCATTTGTTGAGGAGAAAAGTGATCTTCTTAGACAGGTGGTCCTCTTGAACAAAGTCATTAGAATATAATATAGAAAAAAACATAAGGGGGAAAGTAGCAAGTGTCTTTTGTACAAGTGATTGTCTTGGACAGATGTTCATAAGAGCAGGTTTACTGTACTTATTAACAGTATGAATAATTCTCATGTGTTTTCTCTTCCAACGTGGACTCAGGGAAACGGCAAAGAAGAGATCAGTGGAACTGGTGTGTGAAGCTTACAAACAAATCTTCAACGCCATTCTGGATCCTGAAAATGGTTACAAAGATGGGAAGAGTATTGTGCCTAGGACACCCGACCAAGTGACTCATCTTTTGAACTAAAATCCTCATTATGCTACTGTAGCGTACTGCCTCTGCTGTGTGTACTTGCAGTATGACATGTGGGTGATTGGCATGTGCTCTGCTGTGATTTTCTCCTTCTTTCCTATCAAACATCTATCGTCCTTATCTCACCTCCTTCTTTAATGTGATTGTTACTCTCTTGTACATGTAACACCTCTAATCTTCAGCACTTGTATGACCTAATTGGGTTGCAAGTGCTGTAAGATGCGTACTAAATCAAACAAAAAACCTCCAAAAACAGGAGTATGACCTATGATGTACATATGTACTTCATTGTCCTCAAGTCCCAGGAACGCTTCCTGTAGGTAACTCAGCTGCTGCAGACATGCTTTTGGGTCTAAAAAGGTGCTGTACCATAAAAACAAAGGTCCACTGTGTTTGTCAAACTATGAACATTCTTCTTTTTCTTCTCCTTCATTTTTATATATTGACATCCCAGTATCTTGTGTGAAGGCTGCTGAACACTGCAGGTCCTCCAGGCTCCGGTAGAGTTTTGGGGTTTCTTGCTTAGGGTCGGGCTAATACTTCATTCTAAGTGCTTTATGCACTTGGCAGGCTTGTTTTATAGTTTCCTGTTCAGTTGCCGGTTCCACACAGACACTTCTCCGAGTTGCCGACCCCACTATGAACAGTCACAGACAGGGTTTTCTTTACGAAAGATTAGAACGTATAAGGGCCTGAGATGCAAAACCCACTACATCCATTTTAGCACTTTTGAGAAAATCAGCTTTTTTTTATGCTGCTATACGCACGAACATGCGTAAAAAGAAGATTTTTGGGTGGCTTTTATGAAGTATGTGTTGGATTTTGGCCGAAAACACTTTGTGCATCTAATAGCCGGTAATAATGTGCATAAAGTTATAAGCATAAAAATCTCGATTTTTTCCAAAATGTCACTTGACAGGTTTTGCATCTCACCCCCTTATATATCAACTGTTTAGTGTAAGACTTCACCATACAGCATTTTGAAAAGTGGGGTATTACAGAGTCTTTAACTAAGTAGTCGAAATAATGTACTTGGGGTTTTTTTTCTAAGAGTTTGTTGTGGCAGAGCAGAATAGTCGTAGTCTCTGGGTTTTTATGTACAGTTCTTAAAGAAAGAATTATGTACCTGTCATCTGGACATTTTGTAGTATATGATGAGAGCTGAGAAATGAACTGAAGAGACTTGTATCAGGAAAGACTGATGTTTGACAAAAATGAATTACAAGACTTTCTTTTTTTTTTTTTTCATCTTCATTATTCTCAGCCAACATGCTCTGGAAAGTGAAAAAGAAAATTGAAAGATAGCTTGATATACTGAAAGTATGAAACTGTATGAAAGTTGTCGGTTTTGTTGTTGTGGATATTTGATGGTATGGTTTGACATTACTGTTACTCGTTTAACTGTGATTTTGTATAATTCGATTTGTACTTGTAGGTGCTGAAATAATGTAAACATATTTTGTTATTCTATTGTGTTCAACAATGACCATGATAGTCTTTGACATATATACATACTTGTATTGGGAATGTGGTTAGTCTTAAGACCAGCCAAAGTGGGTATTTTCTTGAATAAAAGATTTAAACAAGAGAAGTATGTATGTTAATTTTCTCTTTTTTTCTGTTAATTGAGCTGAAGAGAAGTCCACTTACTGCTCTACTTCTGTGTAGAGAGTTCTCTTTGCTGTTTGTGTAACATTGCGAAATAGGAGACCTGAAGACTATATAGAGTGTAGACTTTCTATCGGGTTTGAGTTACAGCTCCTCGTGTTAAATGTCCCTGATAACGACTTCACAACAGTTTTCACTCAACGGGGCAAAGCTATCGCAGTGCATGGTTTGCACTGCTAGCCACCAAAGTGACCAGCCACCGAGGATCATTTCTCAAATGTGTAGACTAAAGGCAAGAACTCTTGCATCGTGAAAGGGATGATTTTACTAGAGTTTGATCCAATAGATCATCATTGTGTCTTATTGTAAGCTGTATGGGATGTATTCAATGTTTTCGAACATTTGATTCAATTCCACCCTATCATTATGCTTTATGTCAACCTTTCCTTTATCCCCATCTCTACTTTTTGCCCCTACTATTTAGCCAGTTCCATTTGCATCAGATTATATGCCCACCCTAGACTCCTTTGGCATTATTGTCATTATGCAGTACGAAACATGGAAGTGTGCTCAGTATATCCCACATTTTGAGAAAGACCACCGAGGCCAACAAATGTAAAATGGAGGTGCCGACAGAAGGCTGTCAATGAGGGAGTATGGAGCTGCTCCCCCTGCAGTGAGGGATGGCAATCTTTTATGTTCATTGTGCTCCTTCATGATGGGTTCGAGGTTCTAGTGTTGGAATCTCCAATTGATTGTCAGACCTAAGAAGTGAGAGTGGTGAGAAGGAGCAAGAGGAAAGAAGTGGCGGACAAAATAAAGTTGAATTTAAGACAAGCAAATGTGGTTGAAAAGAGAATGCGACAATGTGACATAAGTGTGGATACATATCCAAAATTTATTTTTGTTTACGAGTGATTTATTTTTTTCTTGTGTTGACTTTGGGTAGACTGTACTTTCCACTGTTTTTTATTTTCACTACCAGAAACATGATTATGACCAGTAAGCGCTCATTTGACCTTATGCAGTTGCGAGCGCCGTAAAACCCTCTATTAAAAAAAAACACTGACCAGTAATGTTGATGACGACATCAACTGCCATTTGTTCTTTCCAGTGGTTTTACTCCCTTCATAGTTCTTAATGGAGAGCAAGATACCAGGAATACTGAGATGAATGTGTTATATCCTAGCTTCTATGGTATAATAATTAGAAGAAGAAGAATGTAGGTCATTTTTATAGCGCCTACTCCTGTGAACACACAGCTCTAGGCGCTTATCATAAATCCAAGTAATTTACTTTACTTTTCTGATCCAGTGGCCATCTGAGTTCTAGCCCTTCGGCCTGTCGATATGGCAATGAATTTAGAGGTTTTTATCAGCTGTGTTTTGTTGCTGTATAGAGTATTTCCGATATCTAAGGAGGCAGGTAGGTAGGTGCTACATAGGTCGCTAAGTGCAGGGAAGGTAAAGAGGTGGTGAGATACTGTTTTGTCCTGGCAGTCACACAACGGACAGTCAGGTAGGGTATCCTTGCGGATCCTATTTGAGTAGGAATTCAGTGGGATGTGTTGGGTTCACTGGCAAAAGATCGTGACTTGTTCTCTTCTACTCAAGGAATTTAAATCCAAGTACAAAGTACTCGGTTTATAGCTGCCACATAAGTAATGCCTCATAAGCTCAAGCAATGGACAGAGAAGATTAAACTGCATGCTGTACCAAGAACATTTATTGTTGATGCATTAACAAAATGATAAGATGAAAAATATGACTCAAAATAGTACTAAGCCACAGCATTAAAAAAAAAGGAAAAGCAAACTGCGGTGACATCAAACAAATAATAGGTTTGATTTATTTACAGACCAAAGAACTAAACCACCAAGTGAATACAGTCAATAACAATTACATACTTTGTCACATGTGTTCTTCAACTTCTAAGTGGTGGACTCCACCCGTTACATCATTTTGCACTCAGTGAAAACTGACTCGATCCTCAGCTAGTCCAATCACAAATATTTTTACCTTTAAGTCCTAATTAAATTTTCCATATCATATATGAATGACTCAAAATAACATAAAGTGAGCAAAAGCACTCTGGTGAATAAATGAGTTCGGTGAACAGTTCTTTCTGTTCATCCCTATTTTCTTTGAGCTCATTACAATAGATAAACCATGAAGTAGAATCTCGACTGCTTTATCTTGTCAAACCACACTCTTGTCAGTGGATGTGTTGAGAGAGAAGTTGCGGGGCATTCCACATTTCGCTAGATGCTGGAAAAGATAGAATCAGTTCATGAGTTGTACTTCTAAGCGTCTGAGAATGCTTGACATGCAATGCAATAATAGAGGATTTCAACACACAAAATTTGTGACTGTACATTAAAGCTGAACAAGTGTGGTGAGGATTTCAACTCACAAAATTAAATATGTTACTACAATGCTAAAAAGGTATAGTAAGGATTTCCCCTCACAAAAGTAATTATCACACTACAAAGTTAAATGAGTATAATGAGGAGTATGCTCACTTTCTGTTGAACTTTAAAATTTATGTCAATGTCAGGATCTGACAGTGGGAAAAACTTAAAATTTCCACCATTTGAAATTATTGACTGTACAAATTAGTCTTGTGCCTTTGACTGATTTTAAATATGAACTTCATTACGTTATGCTAAATGGACTTTTTAAATTGTGATGGGGATGGTTCTAAATAATAGCTTCTCTGAGCTATCTCATTTTTGAGACAATCAGACTGATGAATGCACGAGGTTTTGAATCCTTCGTAAGAATCACAAGTGTCCATCCCTGTCCAACAATTAGTATTTCAATGTAACGAGAGATGATGATAGCAGACAGCATTGAAATATGTGCATTCTGGGGACACTACCTATCTTTATACAGCTGTTGTAGCCACGTTGATTAAAAACTTGACTAATACATTATTCAGTCAAACTTTCTGTAACGACCACCTGTACAATACAATCACCTGTACAAATATCTAAATTTGATAAAACCCTATGTGGACGCCTCTGTGGTGTACATTGGGTGCTGAGGTTTTTTCCCGTACCCTTTGAACAAAAATATCTAAATTTGATAAAACCCTATATGTGGCATACAAAAATGTTCAGAACAAAAAATACTATTCAATAACACCAGGAAAAAGGATTGAAATGTAAGTGGCAGATAAAAAAAGAAGAGAGGAAAGTAATGTGAAGAAGGAGTAATAGATAAGAGCCGCTTTGAACAGCTCTGAGTAAAACATAGTAGACAGTCAGTCGCTGTGAGTGGCAAGGCGGGCTGAGTCTGTTAAACCCTCCTAGAAGAGCAGCATCATTGTCTCGGTGGATGAAGACAAAACTTACCCCTGAGAATCCCTGAGACCTGGCGTTAAAACACAGGGGAACTGTGTGGACTGATGGGGGTTTTGACCCATATGTGGACGCCTCTGTGGTGTACATTGGGTGCTGAGGTTTTTTCCCGTACCCCTTGAACACATCTAAAGTGAAGAAATAAAACGCAACCTCAATCAAACAGTTTGAAATAAAATTTTCAACCAAACTGAAGCTGCTATAGGCGTATTTTACCAATCCAAGGGTGAAAAAAAACAAGAACTTTTTTCCAAAAGCCTTCTTGATAGTAATGATAGTTTGAGAGTAAGATTAAAGTGATTCATTCTCTGCAAATGGTTCAAATGACTTTATAATATAAGGAAACTCTTGGTTAACTTTTTTTCACGAAATCTGGTTGATAACACAGTAGTTTCTATTATTAAGTTCTTATTCGCTTAGTCCACATTTTCTAACTACATCATACCTCTGTATCTATCACGGAAAATAGACTGAAATAGAAAATGCATCTATTGTATAGACACAACATCCTACACCTATCACAATCAAATTTCAAACATAAAACTTTAAAACAATTTGCCATTTCTCCTAATAACAAGGAGAAGATGGAGATGGATTGGGCATGTTCTGAGAAGAGAACCAGACTCTATTGTAAAGACTGCCCTCCACTGGACACCTGAATGACATCGCAAGAGGGGCAGACCCAAAGTGACCTGGAGACGCACAGTACAGTCTGAAATGAAGTCCTTGAACCATTTGTGGGGGACGTTGACCAAGATGGCCCAAAACAAACAGAGCTGGAGATCCTTTGTTGCTGCCCTAAACGCCAGATGACGTAACGGGTAGTAAGTAACTAAGTAAATTTCTCCTATAAGATTCTGTCTGTGACAAAACAAGCAGCTTTCCATACTGGTAGTGGTAGAGAGACATTTTAAAATTGAAGTGCAAATAAGGCACAGCAGAAAACAAACAGAAATCATATGACTCATAATTCATGGTCAATCTAACAAGGACAAGCCCTGGGGGTGAATATGCTAAAATTTCTAAATAAAAAGACTGATCACTTACCAGGGTGTTCAAATCTTTGGGGAAGGTCTTTTGTCCTATAATAGTCTGAAGTCTGTGCATTGCATGGCACCCCACCAGCCCCAAATTCCTGTAAAACAAAAGCCAGAATATAAAATTTAAGAAACGTAACCAAAATCTTTCCTGTCTGTACATAACAATGACCTTTAAATTAGCTTTTTTAAAACATCTATTCACATCTAAAAGTACAGTCGAACCTGTGTAAGACGGAATCGCAAGGGAGCCAGAAAAAAATTCCGTCTTAGACAGAGGAATTTAGGGGGAGATGGAG